CCTTTTGTAGCATTCGCAACGATTCTGCACACGAAAATTCGTTCGAAACACAAAATTTGATGCAAACTCTTTGATCAATATTTTTTTCCATTGTTTTTTTTCGCAACGCACTACTGAGGTGAACTGGTTTCAACAGCTGCCGTAAACGAACTGTCTGACAGATCGCGCTCATTTTTGGCATAGTAATTAAGGACAGTGCTGCCAAACTACATAAACTTAAAATATCGAAAAATATACAGCGCGCGAATTTTAAATGAGAATTTCCGAAAACTTTTCGGTCACAATGTACTTCTAAGATGTCTACAGGAAGTGAATATGGCAAAGAACATAAACATAATAAATATTTTGATTTTGACTATGACATCTTATTTGATAGACACAGCCGAAATTAAATTTCATTTTAAATGATCACTATACTATAGTGGAAAGGTTTCGCTTTCTACGGTTCTTTTAATCACTCTTGATACCTCCAGAATCTTACTTTTCTACGCGAAATATATTGACCAACCAACCAAGAAATAACTTTGATATAGATTTGAAAAATAAAGGGTTCATATTGGATCCCACAGAAATTTGATATAAGCTTCACAATCGTGTCGTTTTGTGTAAAGAAGAAAGCTTAAATTGGATCAAATTAGGACCATTTCACTAGAGTATATTTATTATGTCAAAATCACCCATTGTAATGGCTTATTTCATTAATATGTTAATAGTTATCGTTTCTGTAATAGATTTAGTTATCTTTTATTTTTTTTAAGAAAAGCGACCATTGCCAGAAATATAATCAACACATTTATGAAGATACATATATAATAATTTATAATTTTTCGCTTAAATTTATTTTCTTTCAGTTTTGTTGTTTATTTTATATATCACTAAAAGAAGATTAAAACGAATTGGGATGAAATTCAAAAAAAAAATATTAATTAGGTCTATGGTTGCCAGAATCAACCGGGTATAATGAACACGTTACAATAACAACAATTGTTTCTTCTTATATAGGGAATATATGAGTTTATGGGTTGAAGTTGAAGTGGAAGGAAAAACAAATCCTCTTCTGTTATCTAAGAAAGCGATTTTCGTCCCACATTTATGATGGACGATAAAAGAAAATAGAAAAATAATAGAAATAATAATGAATTGAGCTCTAATATAATAACTGTATAAACAATTTTAAAGGACCCATTTATAACACACATTTGTTGTTGGAGAAACTGTACTGGTTGTGTAAAGTTTTTTATCCATAAATATTTCTGGTTTTGAATATTCTTCTACACTTGAAATCATCAAATTTTTCTGAGAACCTCTCCCTTCTAACATATAGTATAGCGCTATATATAAAACAAAAACGATAACGTGCTACTGGTTAACAATTTTGAAAAAAATTTGTGTCTTTGATTATCGACTATATATGTAATAGAATATGAAACAATACCTTATTACAGCTTTTGTTGTTGTAGTGGGCGTAGTTGTTTTAATAATTTGTGTTGTACTTTTAAGTGTACTAGTTTTTGTGGCAGTAGCAGTTGTTTTAGTTGTCGTCGTAGTACTCGTACTAGTCGGTTTTTTACTCGTTGTTGGTGTAGTACTAGAGAGGAAATATATATTTTGTTGTTTAGCGATGGGTGTTGTTGCAGTGGCCGGTTGGAAATTTAAAGTAGAATCTATATTATTATAAGTAGCATCATTCGATTTTGTAACATCTTTTGGTAACTTCGAACCAATTATATTATATTCATCGGATTCTTGTGTAGCTACTAGTTTCGGTGCGAAAGTCGTATAACGTGTGGGTTGCTGATAAAATGCCCGTTCCGTAATGCTTGCATAATAGTCCGGTACCCCCTCGCTATATTCATCAGAGGTCTCATATGCATAAGTTTGACTAGTTGGCGATGTGTAGCTTGTGGGTTCCGTTGTAAGTGTACTATAGTAGTTGCGCTCATCATTGGCTATGAAAGGTCTTGAAGTTGATGTGGGACGTTCGTTCAGTGTTTGTATAGTAATGTGCTCATTCCTAGTTTTTTTTCAATTTTTTTTTTTTGTAGAAAGTTTGATAAAATTTTCAAACAATATGTAAGTGTTTATTGTATTAAAATTTTGATGTAATGTTTTCTATTTTTGTTGTATGTTGAAATGTGTGTGCATTTGCTGGTATGTAAGTTAGGTGTTTTGTGGGTGTGATTATGGTAATTGATAGTTGTTTATAGTGAGTAATTGTAGTGTTGGTCTTTAACAATGGATGGGCAATATAATTTTAGTACTACAGTAGTACATCTTATATGTGTATATGTATTTTAATTCAATTGCCATTCCATTAATTATAGTGTTTAGAGTGCAGTTTTTGTTTTTTGATATGTTTTACCTGCTGCTAAGTTGGAAAGCTTTACATGCAATTTTCTGTATTATGTATATATAAACTTTTTGTTGTTTCTTCAATATAATTAATTAATGACAACACTGTACGATGAGTGCACTACGTCTTGGTTAATTATGGGTTTAATTACCTGATTTGTTCATTACGCATTATTTAAACTATTTGAAGAATATGTAGCTATGTACGAGTATGTATTAATACTTTGAAGTAAATGATATTTAAATATATTTTGCATGCCAATAAAATGCACATAGCTAAACACATATATATATATTATACATATATATATATATTATATATGAATTTAATTATTTTTTTTTTAGCTTTGATACTTTCGCACATGTAAGAAATGTTAAGGTTAATTATGTTATATGTTTAATGGTTAAAACAGTGGATAATGCCTTGCTTTACTAATTTATGAACAATGCAAAAGTACTTACCTCGATGGAGAGCGTGTTGGCTGATCGTATACATTATCTTGCTCAATCTGTAAAAGAAAGTGAGAAATGTTTTAAAGTACCTAAAAAAGTATTAAATTTCTTAGTGGAAACATATATTTCTCCCATGGCATAACCCACGATAAATGCAATATAAAGGACTTCGAACTGAACAAAAGCATTATTCAGTTCGAAGAGTTAACGTCAATTTTTTTTAAATGACGCCTATTTTATAATTATTCCAAATTATAGTGGTATCTAAAATGTTAAGGAGATTATACGATAACACAACTTCAGTGAAATTCAGTGATAATCAGATCATTAGAGAAAATCTATGTAATTAATAAAATCTTGTGACTAAACATCATCGTCTATCTTTAGAAAAATAAGAATTGCAAGGGGAAAAAATAATATAGAAAGACTGATCAACATTAACAATATCTTATTATAATTCGAATTGAAAATACGTTCTTCACATTTTAATAATATTATAGCAAACTATATATATGCTTAATTACATTAATTCTGAGTCTATATCTCTAAGCGATTTTTATTAAAATTTCCACTGGCTTCGTCAGATCAGTTAACTTACTTGAATTACTGGAATCTCAAGCAAATTAAGTGGTCTAACGAAGCCAGTGGATATGTACCATTATGTATATTATACTTAAAATCCGAATGCATCGATACTACATAGATTACATAGATATATAAAAGATGTTTCCACTTCAATTGGAATTTTTTAATTTCTCCAATTTTAAAAACGTTAAGCATAAATAACTACATTTGAAATGAATTATTATTAATTAATATTTAAAGAAAAAGTTGCTTTACACTACTTAGAGATAGGTATATTTAAAAAAATATGGTACAGACATATACCATATAGTCAATTTAAATCGTCTAAATATGTGTTATATTATATATTTTAAAACGGGTTAATTGGCCAGTGGTTTTAAATTACTACACAACTTTTTAAACTAGTTTTAATGAAATATATTATATAGTCATTGATATTTCGACTATATCTCATCTTCAGGGCACAATAAATTATAGATGTGTTATTTAATAATTTAGTCCGTTCTATATAAAATCGTATAAGTATGTCTTTGTATAATCCAAACCGTGGTCCTTTAAAATTAATATACTAACCGACTATCGCTACCTAATATATTAAGAAATATGTTCCCTGTGTATATTTAAACTATACATAGGTTTAAAGAAGTACTTTTCAGAAGTATAATAGCAATACTCACTTGTGCGATAAGATCCTCTTCATAATCTGTGTTATATATCAACGATTGTTGATTGTTATAGTTTTGTGTCTTCTGTGATGATAGGGGTTTGCTAATATAAGTCTCTCGTATTGGCACTTGTTGTGGTGTTGGCGTTGTTAAAATTTCCAATGGACGATATGTCGTTTGCTGTTGACGTATTGGTTGCTGCGGTTGATATTGTTGTTGTTCTTGCTGCTGCTGTTGTTGTTGCTGCTGTTGCTGTTGACGATTATGTTGTTGTTGTTGTTGCTGATACTCAATATCCCTATATAAATCAATATCGTCGTCATAAACAGAATAATAAGTATCATAAGAACTTTGTTCAGGTTGTGCTTGTTGTTGTTGCTGTTGTTGATGTTGTGAAGGAATTTGTTGTTGTTCTTGTATGTTTGGTGGTAATTGTGATTCATAGACCCCATGATTTAATGTTGATGTATTATAATAGTTACGATTAATTAGCTGATTTCGATTTGATGGTATAGTCTCAACGATAACCTTTGTTGGTCTTTGTGGCTGTACATAAAGATTAGCCGGCGTTGGAGATTGTGATGATGGTGAGGATGACTCCACTCTGTTTAAACCACATGCATTTCATTGGTGGCAGAGTGCGTTGGTTATTTACATTTTTTTTTTAAATTTTTTTT